ACCCTAAACCCTACACCCTACCCTATCCCTAAATCCCGCCATTTGGAAACGAAGGAGATGAGCTCTGGGGGCAGCCCAGTCATCGGCGAGCCCATGGCTCCGCACGACTTAGCACATGCCGCTTGGCGGCAAAAACAGGGGCTCGCGGTAATATAGGGGCCTCAATCATTGGAATAGGGTTTTGGGGCCCATTATACTATAACTATATTTTATAATAAGGAGCCCCAAAATAGTATTGGTAATTATTGGGCTGTTACGTTAGGGTTAAGGGAATAATTACCAATACTATTCCCTACAGTTCCTCTTAGAATGCACCCCCAAAGCACCATTCCAATTATGATGGCCCTATATTGGGGCTTTTTGTTGCTGTTTAAGGCTTGTTGGGCTTAGGCATAGGTCGGGTCCCAGCAGTTTTTGTGTGGTTTCTTGGGTGTCATAGAGGTTTAGTTTAGGGTTTCGAGTTTAAGGGTTTAGGGTTTAGGGTTAAAGGGTTTAGGGTTTAGGGTTTTAGGGTTTAGGGTTTTAGGGTTTAAACGTTTATTCTAGGGTTTATGTGTGCGAGAAACTTGCGGTTTGCGGACTAAGCCTTTAAGTTCATCATCACCGTCAACGAAGCCATAAACCCTAAAACGACCTGAACACCAAACCCTCAACATCATGTGGGTAGTTCTCTAAAATATGATGCCTTTCTAGGTCCCCAATATAGTACGGCACCCTTATAATCAGGACCCTAGAAGGGACCCTAATTTAGAAAACTACCCATGTTCGCTACCATTGTCATTGTCGTCATCGCAGGCATGAGTCTACATTATAGAGTCGTACTCTTCGCCGCATCACATTCCTCGTCCTTCCTCAATTAAAAATCCCAAACCCAACGCCCCATTCTAGCCGTCACCATCGCCATCAGCATCATCCTCGTCCTGTGCTTCATCTTTCAAAACCTGAAGATTGGTATCAGTTATCAGGGTCTCTGGTGTTTTCGAAGCTAGAAAATGATGCAGATAATCTTCTTCTTCTTCTTGTCGGGCGGTGGTGGTGGTGGTGGTGGTGGTGGTGGTGGCGGTGGTGGTGGTGGCGGTGGCGGGGGTGGCGGTGGCGGTGGTGGTGGTGGCGCCGTGGTGGTGGTTCTGGTGATTCGAGCGAATGCGATGTCGTTAATGCCTTCTTTGCTAGACTAGCGATGGTTATGATTGTTGCATGATGATGGTCTGGATGATGTTCATGATTCTGAGGATGGCGATGATGCTGCTGATGATGATGGCGATGGCAATGAAGATGGCAATGGTGATGACATGACGATGATGATGACGATAATGACGATGATGATGAAGATGATAGGGACGGCAATGACGAAGACGGCACTGAGGATGTGAAGTTGAAGCTGATGATGAGCTGATGAGGGCAATGAAGACGCTGCTTCTCGTGTGGTATCGTGCTCGTGGTTTAGGCCGCGGAGATTGCAGACTCAGTGGGCTTTTCTTGCCGTTTGAGGTCAAGAACGTCTTCACTCTGCTTCTGGACAGCTCCCAGGAGCTCTGCACGACAGTTGAGGGTTTCGCATTACCGGGCAGAGGATTTATGAAGGCAGGCACGACGTTTGCACACGTCGGAACGAAGAGCAGGAAAAGCGGGCAACAGAGGACGCAGGAAAAGATACAGACATCATATGCACCACTGGACAGACTCACCCACACACAAGATCCACATCGGTACGCGCGCGAGGCGCTTGAACGAAGGTACTCATGGCTGAATATGAGCTCAAGCTCCTGGATCCCTTACATACGCGGGGTGAGCCCCGAAGTTCAGGACAACAACCCAAAGAAAAGGGAAGACGTCCTGAAGAAGCTCGAGGAGCTTTACACAAAGCTGCAGCCGGGAGCACAAAGCGTTGTGTTTGCGTGTGCATATCCGCATACCACGGAGCAGATGTTACCATGGTGTTTGTGTTTCTCTAAGGACAGGACAGCTGAAGACTGCCGCCTCCCAGAAGGTGAGCGCAACTGTGCTGATGTGCTGTTATGGCCACTGTCAACACCAGCCCCATCACAATCCCCTTCAGTGCTGCCACCACCAGCACTTGCAGTACCCCAGCATGCACGGGCAGTACCACCATGATTGGACATCGCCATCACGATTCTTCTCATGATCACCATTCGCAACCATCAGCGCCACCCTAAACCCTAAACCCTAAACCCTGAAAGGCCCTAAAACCCTAAAACCCGAAAACCCTAAACCCTAAACCCTAAACCGTTTACTTGAGATGCCAGGCTGTTCAGTCCCATGCAACCCCCAAACAGGTGCTCCAGCTGGCAAAGGCCATGGAGGCCCAGGACTACGCCACAGCCCAGAAGGTGCAGCAGGAGTTCGGGTCTCGGACACTGCAAAGAGGTGGATATCGTTGTCATCCTGGTAAATCAATTGAAACTGGTAATAATAATGGTAGTTATAATAATGATAATAATGGTAGTTATAATAATGATAATAATGGTAGTTACAATAATGACAATAATGGTAGTTACAATAATGACAATAATAGAAATCCCGGGATATTTGGGCCCGATCGGATTTGTCCTCTCTCAGGTTAAGCGTAGATTGGGACACCAACAAGAGCTGGCTGATGGGCGTGAAGCGCGGCCCTCAAACCTCTCGCAGGTTTAGGGTTTCGGGTTTCGGGTTTAGGGTTTAAGGTTTAGGGTTTAGGGTTTAGGGTTAGCCAGCGACTGCTTGCGGGATCTGACCGAGGCGCCTCATCACAACGCGGTGAGCGGCCAGAGACAGCTCAGAGTGCAGTGTCCAGCCCCAGTCCCCACTACAACCGAAACCAAAGCAGAAAGTGTAGCAGTCGGCATAAGCAGCACGACCTCAGAGCTTGACAAGCTCAACCAGACCCGCTCCTCTGTGCAGACTTGCGGAAAATGGAGACGACCTTCGCCCTTCGGTGTGTACTATGGCAGCCCAAACGGTAAGAACAGGGTTCTGGGATATATGAGAGCATGAGCACAGTAGAAACCCCAGGAACAAAAACGTATTCATGCTTCAGGCTAAGTACAGTATAACATACGCCGAAAGTCATGGTGTAATTATTTAGGCCTTAAGCGCAAACCGTTATAAAATCCCAGGAGCTTGCAGTAGGATGTTTTTAGAGCTTACCGAAGTCTGGAAAGATGCAAAATCGGGAGCCATCCTGCAGAGAAAGTGGCGAGACCCTGGTGGTCGTAGGTCTCGTCTACCGCTTGTCGTGGTGACCCGAAATTAAGGGCTTAGGGTTTAGAAATCGTGAAGCAACGCGCTCTGCCGCTCTGGGGCTCAAAGTTTCACTGCGTACGACCTTTCAAAGACAGGCGGCAGTCCGCTGTGCAGAGGTCACGTTTCACCCTTTCTCCCTCCGTGGCATCACTCTAAGCACACACACACACACATATATATATATATATATATACACACACATATGTATGCCTATATCGATATGTTTATCTATATCCATATCGCTATGTCATATATCTATGTCTATATCTATACCGACAACAAAAGCTCTACCCTACATATGTATGTGTATACATACATATACATGTGAACGCCCACGTCTCCCTATCGCGCTCTTTATGTTTCGCTTTATTCAGATTCTGGCCATCCGGCTCGCTTTCAACACCCAGACCCTACCACTCCAGTGCTGCCTCGGCCCTGTTCTTCTTTAAGTAGTCCTGTGTCACCCAGCAGCATCGCGATGGCTTCAGAGGAGGCGAATGTTCTTGAACCCCAGCAACTGCCCTCGCATCCTTTGTAGTTCTAGTCCCCCAAAGCGGGACACTCCTCACCCCTCAGGAGGAGGAGGACTACGATGACGAGGACTTTGAAGAAGAAGAGTTCCCCGATGACTTCGAGGAGGACACGAGGGGAACTCTTCGGGTCGTGCGGTTTAGGGTTTAGGGTTTAGGGTTTAGGGTTTAGGGTTTAGGGTTTGAGAGTCGCTGTTTCCCATAACTGTCTGGTGCTTGTAGGGAATGGGGGATAGGGACTACTATAAGGGACCTTAAAGGGACTATCACAGGGATCCATTCCCCCATTCCCTACTAAGCACCAGACAGGTAATTACCAATATCCTTCCTCAGGGTTCCGTTTTAGAACTCTTGTATAAAGGGAGCCCCAAGCCTGCTTCTAACTATTCAGGCCCCTACAGCAGTTGCTCAATCACTACCGTTTGTTACTGAATTTTAGAATGTTGACACTGCTGCGGTTGTGGCGTTTGGCTTTGAGGGTTGGCGGTCAGACTCGTGGAAGTTTCAGTGGTTCTAAATGGTGTGCTGGAAGTCGTAGTCGCCGTCCTAGTGGAGCAAGTCAGTAGTCGTTTTCATCGGCCTCGTCGTGCAGGTTCTTCACTGTCGGGGTGGTGGTAGAAGTAGTACTCGTACCAGTAGCAGTAGCAGTGGAATTACCTTCCCCTGCTCCTGCTCTGACTCTCACTGTTGCTCTTACTTTGTACCCTTATCCTTAGTCTTCATTTTTCTTTTCCTCCTGCTCTTGCTGTTGACAACAGCAACAACAACCGCGACTCCTACTCCTACTACTACTACTCCTACTACTACTACTACTACTACTACTACTACTACTCCTTGCTACTGCTACTGCTACTGCTACTGCTACTGCCGCTGCCACTGCCACTGCCACTGTTACTGCTGCTGCTGCTGCTGCTGCTGCCGCTGCTACTGCCACTGCCACTGCTACTGCTTCTGCGACTGCTACTGCTGCTAAACCAATGATTGGGGCAAGGTTGGGGCTCGAGGGTTGTGGGATTTGGGTTCATGTCCCTGAAGCTTAGCCTTAAGAGGTTCCCATGTACCTAGGATTGCGGAGGAGCTGCCAGCAGCACATCCCAGAGGGTCAGATGCGTTGCTATGATTGCAGCGCTTCTCTGCCGGCTCACCACACCTGAATCGGAGCATTGTTGGGAATGAGCCCCGAAGCCCCAGGACCATCCCAACAGACAGTTGAAAAACAATGTTCGTGTATAATCGTTGGAAAGTTCCAGTGTCTGAGTAGCCTAGCAGCCTGGCAGTCATGGGGTGATGGTCGCCGGCTTTTTCAGATTTTGCTTCACCCCTGTGCAGCAGCCCTTCTACCGCTACAGGACGTCAAAGCATGGATCCAAATACAGCACGAAGAACGCCTAAACACACACATGGGCTCTTGGATTCAATGATCCGGGGATTTACGCGGAAGGGACCTCATGCACACCCCACAAACCAAATAAAAGGATTCTTATTATTATGAGACCCCTGAACAAAGGCACCCCTAATATTGCGAACCCTAAACCCTAAACCCTAAACTTCACAACAAAAACTTCCAAGGCTCGCATGATACAGCCTTATACAATCCCATGTGTGTGTGCTCTCAAACCTAGAGTTCAGGGTTTATATGGTTTAGGGTTTAGGGTTTAAAACTAGAGCCCTTGAAGGTACTATAGGGTCCTAGAATAGGGCTCCCTTAAAGGAACCCAACCAGAAGCCCCTACAGGGAAAAAATTGAAAACACCAACAAGCCGAAAGCCACATCCGCAGCTGAACCAGAAACCCTGAACCTGAATCCCGCCAGTCTCATTAGGGTTTAGGGTTTAGGGTTTAGGGTTTAGGGTTTAGGGATCCCCACCTTAATCCCAAATAACCCACCTCTTTTGAGGACTTATATAAGCAAGTTATAAGAATAAGGAGCCCTCAAAATATAGATTTCTTAGGGTCCAGGAAACCCCTAGACCTTAAGCTTCAAACCCTAAACCCCTGAACCATACTAAACCCTAAACCCCTAAACCCGAAACCCTAAAACCCTACACCCCTAAATCCCTCAACCTATCACCCTACACCCATAAAAACCTGAACCCTAAACCCCAAATGGCCTGAATGCCCTCGGAGCTGCGGCCTTCACGCGTGCATAGCCTGGGCTCTTGTCATTGAGCGGGGTTTGGCTTAGGGTTTAGGGTTTTCGGCTTAAGGTGTGGGCTCTAGGGCTTAGGCTTTCGGGCTTTGGGGTTTAGGTTTCAGGGATATGGCCTTCGGCTTAGGGCTTTGGATGTAGGGTTTCTAGGCTCTCGTGCAGGTTCTGGGTCTAAGCCTGAGCTACCAAAATAATGGGTTTCTATCGTACATAGTATGATTTCCTTATTATGACCTCCTAAAGTAAGCTCCTTGACAACAGCCCAGTCGCCGACTTCGGGCGGTGCCGAAAACATCGTGTGGCCGGGCCCTTCGCAGTCCTCCAAACATGTGCCAGTTTCAACTTTTGTTACAAAACCACGTGGTATGTGCCACGGGGTTGTTCAGCGTTGAGTGCACAGAGAATTGATTTGTGTAAACACGTGCCCGAGACGTGTCACGGACGGCCGTCGTTATACCGGTTCGGGGATTTACGCTGTCATAATTATGGGCGGGGGGGTCAAGGATTGAGTTGAGAGAGTTCCGGTCTAGCAGACTTTCGGATATAGGTCATAGGGTTGAGAGTTTTGTAGAAATGAGGAAGCCCTGTTGGCCCCCTCTTAGCTGTAAAGGGAGCAGGTATGTCGAACATCAAAACCGGATGTCAAATTCCAGTCTAGCTTCTCGTCGTGCCAAGAGGTGTAGTATCATGTTGGCCACCCGGACATATTCTCATGGAATGGGAAGGCATGACGGTTGTGAATAAATGCGAATCCAGGTGGCAACATCAAGCAATGTTTTCATCCCATATAGGTCCATAAAGGTCTCGAGCGAACATATGATGGCGCCTTTCAACCATCAAAAATTCGTTTATTGATCCTCAGTTGATGTCTGTTACATATTTTTACAGTTGGGAGCATACGCGCTTCGTAGTTATAGTGTTCACGTCGTAGCCTAACAATGGTGAGACTAGTGTTACTTTGGTACTGAATTTATATTTGCTTGGCGCTTCATGCTTGCATGGCATTCATATAGTGATTCCGAGTTGATAAATTGGCATGCAACTAGCACTTGTTAAGATTTGCCTCTGTTCTTCAGCAATGACTTGTATAATAGTGCCTGTATGCCATCTTACAAAAGAACTATCATCTGGACCGTCTTGTTGACAAAAAGTGTGCTCATATGTACAGTTACTCATCAGCTATCGCTACATGCTGAATGACAAGATTAGCTTATATCCAGTCAGTTAACATGCGGTAGATGCTCAGGCCTCAGGCATCTAACAGAATGCTCAAGTACTTGAAATTCACGACCAAGATCAACCGTATGTACATGATTTTCAACCAATGACAATATTTAATAGGAAAAATGCTGTGTGGACGTCAAGCAGCGTTTCTGAGATAGCTGGTCCGACATCTAGGGCATCTGCAAACATTAGGTTCACGAATATGCCAATCATTCAAATGTCTATGAGCTTTAGGCTACATACTTAACATGCTATGGTTCAGCCTAGACGACGGTTCGGATGTTTCGTAAGTGACGTTATCCTTTTCCTCAAAAAACAATCGGTACTCAACATCCCCAACACTGAGCTAGCACTACGTCTTCAGCACGTTCATATCTTGAACGGTCCCTTGCCCAGTTGATAGTATTGGAATAATAACTCCCCAGGCGGGTATTTATATTAGTCAGTTTCGACAGGCTCAATGAATATATAGGTGGAGCTTATACTCAAGCTCCCTTAAGCTCTCTTCTTCAACAACCAGGCCCAAAAAGTTCTCCCATTATCGATCTAAGTAAGATGTTTTCTAGGGGCTTGCAGGCAGAAAATAGAACGGAGGAGCCTCGGGAAGTGGAGTCTGGTTTTCTTGGGTTTCGGGTTTAGGGCCTTTCGGGTTTAGAGTTTAGGATTGCGGTATAATGTACGCTGCATCAGACAGGGACTGCGAGGAAGCATTGCTACCAAACGTTATTACTCCTGGTGCAAATGGGGGTTTCCGAAAATAGGGGACCCTAATATTACCCTAAATAGTAGGATTCTTATTTGAAGGGCCCCCAAATAAGGTACCCTAATTTTCGGAAACTCCCAAATCGGGCTGGGGATTGAGGCGTCGGGAGTTCCGAGTCGCAGGGCTTCAGTGGCTTTGGAAATTTAGGGCGTTGGCGTCTAGGGAGGTAGGAATTTGGAAACCCTAGTCCCTCAACGCCCTAACCGCCCTCAACGCCCTAAGCTCAAAACCCTAAACCCCTAAGCCCTAAACCCTAACCCTAAACCCTAAACCCTAAACCAGCAGTTCGACCCGCAAGACTGACGGTTGTTCTCAAGGTCTACCTGCAGCGTCCAGGATGTCAGGAAGAAGCTACATGTTTCGAAAAGGGTTTAGGGTCGCTTCAAGAGCTCTACAAGGCTTCTGCGGGTTTAGGGTTTAGGCGTCAGGGTTCGGGGTGAAAGGGTTTGGAAGCTCGCGCTTAGAGGAAAGCGCGAAACTAACGCAATCGTTGGAGACAGTTCCGGCTGCGTAAGGTTATAGTCCAAGCGATGACTCATCAGCAGATGTCAACAGTCTCTCCATCTTCCAGTTGCTACAAGTAATCCTATTAGGGTGTAGGGATCCACTAACTAAACACCTAAACCCTAAACCCTAAACCCTAGACCCTAAAGAGTTAAGGGTTCAGGGTTGAGGCAGTCCAACTTGAAGTCTTCGCACTTCAAGCAGTCGCTGGCGTCTACATCGCCCACATTCCACGCACTGCCACTTTCCTTACTTGTCCAGTTTCCAAAAACCACACGAAAGGCTAACCTTTGGGATTATATATAATAAGGAGTCTAGACATGTAGGGGCCGGAATAAATCCCAACATTATTCCCTATGGGGTTCCTACCGGCTCCGACATATAGGTATACAATACCATAACCTACCCGCAAGCACCTAAATTATTTTGCCCTGACATTTTTCTAGGCTACTTGCGCCAAGCCCTTTTGCTGCAGGCTTGCAAGCAAGAAGGCCTGGTAGATAGCCACTCGTCCGCCAGCTAGCCCACCTTAAAACGACTATTTAGGGAATGCCCTAAACCCTTAACCCCTAAACACCCTAAATCGCGAACCCCTACACCCTAAACCCTAAACCCCCAAACCCTAAACCCCGACCCTAAACCCCGAAAACCACCCAACCCTTTGTGCATCCGGGCTTAAACCACCCAACCCTAAACCCTAAACCCCCAAAACCACCAAACCCTAAACCCTAAACCCCTAAACCCTAAACCCCTAAACCCCGAAACCCCAGGTTGCTTCTCAACTGCTGAGCGTCGCAGGCACAGCTGGAGTTGTCCAGTCCGATCCTGTGAGGCGGTCTTGTGTTTAGGGTTTAGGGTTTAGGGGTTTAGGGTTTAGGGGTTTGGGGTTTAGTATATTGGGTTTAGGGGTTAGGGTTTAGGGGTGAGGGTTTAGGGGTCTAGGGTTTAGGGGTTTAGGTGTTTGGGGGTTTAGGTGTTTAGGGGTTTAGGGTCTCAAGCGCGGTCCGGGTCGATAGGGGGCTTAGGAGTCAGGGTTTAGAGTCTAGGGTTCAAGGGTCTGAGGGCGTGCCTGAACCCTCAGGAACAAAGAGCTTTCAGACTCCTTGATATGCTGCTGAAAAACTGTTGCCTGGGATGGAACTGGTGTTGTTTAAGCTGTTCCAGATGCTACTTCGCATAAGTTTAGGCCCCCACCCGCACAAACCTAGTTCACCCTAGTCTTCTTCTTCATAAACATGAGGTTATGCAATCGTGTTTTGCAACTATGTCACCACATGTCGTTGCAGTTACTGGATTACCACGTGTTGACACATGTATCACACCCTATGGCCTATCTATCTATCTATCTATCTATCTATCTATCTAACTATCTATCTATCTATCTATCTATCTATCGATTTATTCATCTATCTAACTAACTATCTATCTACCTATCTATCTATGTACCTATCCATCTATCTATCTACCTATTTGTACGCATGTATTTAAATATACTTGTTGACTGATTTATGCGTTTCGTACTGTATCTCTTCATGTGTTGGCTTCTCTACTTGCTGTTATTGTCAGTATTTTCTGATCGGGAAATTCTACGATACAACGATTTTGCAACTTGCTAAGGTTGCACCGATTTCGGATGGACTAACAGATTATTGTATAACCCCATGGCCAGAAAACGCACCATGTGTCAGCGAAATATAAGCATGTACCCTGGATTGAAGTGGCACTAGAACAAACATAGCCACACCCCCACAACCACAGCCACGACGATAGACAAAGACACATAGTACTAACACTTCGAGCCATGAGACCAAAGCCATCGACAACATGTATTGACTTCACCCGGTCCACAGCGTTCAGCCCCAAAGCCCGGAACGTGTCCGGACTGTTCGATACCCCTGCATTAAGGGGTTTCCCTGACGGCCCTGACGTTCTGGGACACCTGATGTGATCTAGGACATTTGACAATATGAGGGTTTCCGAAAATAGGGGACCCTAATATAGTACCCTAAATAATAGGATGTTTAAAAAAAAAGAACCCCAAAATAAGGTACCCTATTTTCGGAAAGTCCCATATTAAAGCATATTCGGTTCCCCACACCCAAAGAGCAGGTCCTGCCAAAGATACACTGGCACTGGCTCAGCGCGCTGGCCCCGTCCCGGGAAGTCTTCGAGTGCCTGGCTGGCCCCTACCTTAAGAACCCCAAACCTACTTTCTTTTGTAGGGTCCCTATAAATCCCCATATTAGGGTTTACAATAAGAACCTGCAAAAAAGTGGGTTTTGGGTTCTTAAGGTAAACCCTAAGCCTAAACCTGTCAGCCCCAAACCCTGAAGACCAAACCTCTTTGAGGCTGAGGCTTAGGAGATTAGGGAGTTTAGGGGTTGGGGGTTGAGCCCTCTCCGCCTTTTTGAGCTGCTTCGGGATTCCTCAACCCCTCAAGAAACTTGGGGACCGAAACGGTGGCACCTGCCCTAAACCCTGAACCCTTTTGAACTACCCTAAACCCTAAACCCTAAACGCCGTGT